CCACTTAGATCACTGATGTAGACTCCCCTGGCTGCTGCCAGGGTCCACTCTGGATCTGTGGATGAGAAGGAGCACCCTTGGAATTTTTCTCAGTTTCCTCAACAGTCAAGGGAAAGGATCCCCTGTATAAAAGCAGGGACCTCATTGGACCCTAAGGAGAGCCTTTTAGTTCTATTGATCTCCTCAACTGGAAACTTCATATGCCTTCATACTCAGTAATCTCCAGGTCATGACTGAGCTCCTGACCTAGTCCTTCAGATGCATCAGCTGACTTGGGCAGACTGCTGACAAATCCTCCTGACTCTTTTTAGTACTGAGGAGTGAGCTTGCATTGTGGAGGTTGGATGAGCTTGGCTAAGGACTAAAGTTCCAGATGACGATGCTGACCTTGAAGCCTGGGTAGATACTGCCTTCCTTGCTAACCTACCAGACTGAAACTGTCTGTACAGCTTTGACTGGATTTTGGAATACTCTCCTGGCAAGAAAAAAAAAAAAAAAAAAAGCAGGGGAGAAGAAAGCCATTAACATGCCACAGATAACTGATGTTATCCAAGAACCAAATGCAAGTCCTATAAAATTCTATGAAAGACCATAGAAACCTTATCAGATTTACACTGCCTTTGATCCTGAAGCTCCTGAATACCAACAGATGATTAATTCAGTTTTTGTGTTGCAGTGTGCCTCTGATATCTACAAGAAAATTCAAAAGATTGAGGGTTTTCCTGGCACAAATGACACTCAATTACACCAAATAGCTCAAAGATTTTTATAAACCAAGAAGGAGAAGAAAAGAAAGAGCATAAATGTAATCAGACTGCCTTCTTGCCGATAGTCACAGGAAAGCCACTCCCAGAAGGGTTCCAAGCCAGCCACTAGCAGCACTGAAACCAAGGCAACAAGGCCTCACAAGGGCCTCAAAACAAGGTGAGCAGTTAACCATATGCTCTAACCCCAAATTAATGTGCCCTACGCAAACGATTTAGACACTGGAAAGACAAATGTCCTCACCACCTGAAAGACCAGCAAACTTCTCAAGTATCAAACCTATAGCCACCACCAGAAACCCTGCTCTCACTCTTTGATGGCACTGCATAGGATAGACCAGGCTCTATAAGACTAGGCTCCCAGGAGCCTACAGTCACAATGAAAGTTGGGGGAAAACTAATGATTTTTATGGTCGAAGCAAAGCCAAATATTCTGTTGTCACCCAGCATGTTGCTCTTTTGACTTCTCAGCAAATTCCAATAGTAGGGGCTACTGGCATTCCCACTGAAAAGAGATTTTGCCAAAGCAGATCCTGGGAGACTGGAGGACGTCTTATCAAACATAAATTTTTACACATGTCTGAATGTCCCATCCCCCTGATAGGCCAAGTCTACTGTCAAAGTTGGGAGCAACATTTCTTTTCCCTCTTACAAGCCTCCCACCCTCACAAGCTTGATATTGACTTTAACTGTGCCCCCAGAAGAAGAATGATGTCTCTATTAAATGGAGATGCCCACAGGCTATAACTGAAGTTCTTAAAATTATGTTTCCAGATGTTTAGGTGGAAGACTCCTCCCTTGGGTCTAGCCGTTAACCATGTCCCATTGATGATTGAACTTAATCTGGGAGCTGCTCCTGTTACCTTTAAGCAATATCTCATGTTGGGAGGGCTCACCTCGGCATTTAGCCCCACATTTCCAGCCTGAAACAAGCTGGGATTCTAGTAGACTGCCAGTCACCCTGGAACACTCAACTGTTACCAGTTAAAAATCCTAATTGGAACTATTGTCTGGTGCAAGACCTCTGTGAAATAAATGCTGCTACCATAACTCTGCATCCATCGATTCCCTCCTGGGCCTGCTCCCTCCTGATGTTACCTGGTTTACCTGTCTGGACTTGAAGGATACTTTATTCTGTCTGCATATAGCCTCTGCTGGTCAGCTTCTTTTCACCTGTGAATTGGAGGACCCTGACAAGGGTGAAAAGGACAACTCACACGGACACATCTCCCTCATGGGTTCAAGAATTCTCCCACGCTGTGCAGAGAAGCACTGGCAGCTGATCTAGCCACATTCCCCCATGACAGATTCCACTGTAGTCTGCTGCAATAGGTTGATGATATTCTGATAGAAAGTCCCACTAGAGAGGACTTCTGGAGGGGAACACAGCCCCTCCTTCATCACATCCAAAGTCTCCAGGAAAAAGACTCAAATTTGCAACGACAACAAAAGAAAGTCAGATATTTAGGGTTTGATTTGGAAAAGGAGCTCCAACATTTAGGCCCAGAAAGAACAGGAGTCATTCCATGGTCTAACTGTAAGAAAAAAGAACTCAGAACTCAGGGAATTTTTAGGGGCAGCTGGTTTCTGCTGAATTTGGATAATAGGTTATGCTGAAAATGCCACTCAATGACGTGTTGAAAAAGGCCGCAACTGAAAGACATGTAATAAATTGGACTGTAGAAGAGACTGCGGCATTTAAACAGATCAGAAGATCTCTGCCCTCAGCTCCTGCTTTAGGGATTCCATATGTAACTCATTCCTTTAAGCTGTTTGTAGATGATAAGCAACATGTTGCCTCAGGTGTCTTGACCCAAACAGTGGGTTTCTGGGAAATAGCAGTCACATTCCTGTCTAAGACTTTGGACTCAGTTTCCAGAGGGTGGCCTTCTGGTTTGCAGGCACTTGCAGCAAAAGCCCTCCTGATTAAGCAGGCAGATAAAATGACATTGGGACAAAACCTGACTGGCTAGGTGCCTCAGGCTATTCTTGAGCTTCTTGATAGTCAGGGACACCAGTGGTTGTCAAACAGCCACATCACCCAGTACCAAGGACTGCTTACTGGAAATCCCTGACTCATCTTCCAGCCAGTAAAGACTTTAAATCCAGCCACCTATTTGCCTACAGAGATGGGACAGCCAGATCATGATTGCCTTGCATTAACAGATGAACACTTTGCTAGCCACACTGACCTCCAGATGGAGCCCATGGCAGATGTGAGTACACCTTGTTCACACATGGAAGTAGCTCTGTTGAAGATGGGCAGCACGGGGCCAGTTATGCTGTTGCTACCACCAAAGACATGCTCCTGGCCAGACCTCTTTCCCAGAATTGGTCGGCTCAATAGGCTGAACTCTGGACCCTTACACAGCCCCTTAACTGAGCAAAAGACAGAAAGGTAAATATTTGCACCGATTCCTGGTATGCCTTCACCACAGTCCACATCCATCGGACATTATACAAAGAGCATGGGCTTTTGACGGCTGAGGGAAAACAAACCAAGAACAAGGATGAAATTTCTCACTTTTAACTGCAATTTGAAGCCCAAAAATTTGCTGTCATCCATTGTAAAGACCACTAGAAAATGAAAGACACTGTTACTCCTGGAAATCATAAAGCAGATGAAGCTCCTGAATTAGTTGCTGAAGCCTCAACATGGAAAGATAATGATCTAGTTCAGAACATAGAGACTCAACAAGAGAACCCACCGAAAACTGTTCTTAACTTGTACCAAAGTCCTCTCCATTATACTAAAGAAGAAATAAAATGGGCAAAACAGGAAGGAGCTACTGCGAACCCAAATGGTGTCTGGGCTCCTCAGGACAAGACGATGATTATTTCAAAAGAGCTAGACTACACCTGGGTTAAACATCACCATGACATTACCTTTGGAGGGAAGACTGCAATCACTCAGAAGCTAGTTTCAGGGCAAATGGACTGAATTCCACAGAAAACCAAAGAGCTCTATTTAGGGCAAACAGAGTTTATTAAATTTTAGACTGGTCACTGCACATCCCCAACTTGCAGGTCAGGAACGTGGGCTACTGGTCTTTCTTTGTTTCCACCTTAAATACACCTTTGGTTTCTATGGTAACAGATTGGAATGTTGCAGCCATTGACATAGGTGGCCACACATTGTTTTCCTTGTCCCACATGACTGGGTTAAGCCCTGGTTATGAACCCAATCACAATGATATATATTTTCTGTACTCTGTTCTGTATGTCCCCCTATAGATAACCATACATTTCTCTTATAGTTACAATGTTTATCTAGGACCAGGGAAGGGATGAAACAACCCAGGCAGGGTCATAGGTGGTTATCTGGGCCCTAGTGTTCTTTGTCTTTGGAGAAGCATTCCAGGGCAAAGTCAGGACTGCAAAATTAACTTTTTATAACTCCTGCAGGATGTTTCTCAAGACACAGTTTGAGGATTGTACTAAGACTAGAATTATTCTTATTCTATCTTTAAAATGATATGCTAAGAATCGCCATCCCCTATGCTAGGTCCATATTATTATATTCCAAAACTGACAGCATAATATATATAATTTCAGGCACAACAACCCACATTTGCTGATTTTTTACTTACATCCACTATTTAAATTTTTTGGTCACTGGTAGAGTTTGGGTCCTTGTTAATTACATTATAGCTGAATAAATCATACAGTTGAAGTCTTCTGACTTCATCATTTTATAGACACTGAGCCTGACTCGGGATACTTTGCAAAAGTCACAGGGAATTGACAAGAATTAGGAGTAAAACAAGTTTTCTGGCTCTTTTCTATGTACCAGCGCACTCTGAGTCACTCAAGTTGGTATTTTTGTATATCTTTTTGGTTTGGTAGCATTTTGTTGTTATTGTTTTTTAAAGAGGATCCCAATGGCCCCTTTATTTTAAGAGCTGTTTTTGTAGTGTATCTCCCTACATTTTATTGGCAGAGCACCATGGATAGCCAGAAAGAAGATTTGTTGTTGCAGAATGAAGCAGCATCTATCAAATATTGCCAGGATAAGCTAGAGCAGCTCTCAGTGTCCCTGATGGAAAACATTTCAGAAGGAGTTCATTTCGTCATATTAAAAATTAAAATTATTTCCAAGAAGTATTTTTTAACCATATCTAAGTAAAGGAGTCAATGCTGAATCTTCTAGTCCTGGCTCTCTTTACCTTTTGGCAACTATTGCTATTTTTATTGTTCAATCTCCTAGTTTGGTGGAAATAGCAGAGCCTAAGGAAAACAAGCGCTTCTCCAAGTCTAAACTGCAGAATTAGTGTACACAAACCTCAACTCCAGGGACTGAGACAGAGCACCCAGGTGCCCCTCCTGGTGAGCACTTGTACAAAACACGTATGGAACTGAAGCTTCATGACACAGAACCTCTATAATTTAAATGAAGTTGGCTCTTGAGCCCCCTTTGCCTCTTGTTCTAGCACAGTTGTTCCAAAATAAGTTAAACTTGATTGTTTTGGTTTAATCTCATTCTGCGCAGCTTGAGTGTCCCTTATTTGAAATATCTTCCTTGAGCTTTCTCTACAATCCTCACCCTTGGGAGCATAAGGACTTTGGCTGAAGGAACAGAACAGAGAGCTGATAGCAGAAGAAATGGGAGACGGAAAAACAAAAATAACACTAGTTGCACAAAGGCCGAGATACCCAGGACTGGAGGTTCCAGCATTCACTCCTTACTCAGAATAGATTAATAGCAGTCCACGGCTGCAGGTCTCATGCCAGGAGATGCAGGAAACACAGGAAGTGGCAGGGCTGGTATGCAGACTTGGACTCACTTGCTCCTGCAGGGACAGGAAGCCTGGGGTCGGGCTGTGCGCGTGCTGCTCTGGGCTGCTCCGTGTGTGAGGTGCCGATGGCGCCCCAGTGTTCCTTCTGACTGGGGAGTGTGGCCAGCTGTCTCTCCAGGAGTCATAAAGGAAGCAGCAGCACTGAATGGGATGCGAAGCCGGTTCTGTGACAGTGGCCACCCTGGAAAGCACCAGGGACAGACAGGTGCACGCTCCTGTCTTGTGCGAAATCCTGCTTTCTCCCTGATGTGGTATTTATGGTCAAGGCTCTCTGCCTGCCTCGGATACCAAGTCTGTCAGGTTAGATTCTGAGAGGACTTTGGCTCTCAAGGCATGAAAAGAAAGAATTGTCTTTCCAAAAGGACTTACTCCCCTTTGAAATGCGCCTGCAGAGGGGGCGTGTGGGCAGTTCCCACAGCGAAGCCTGTGTCAGGTACAAGGTTCAGGTTCTTGGGTTTGAATCTCACAGGCCTAACAAAAGCGGGAAAGGGGCGCTGTCTGAGCGCGCTCTGAAGACCCTGGGCTCCTCCTGCCTTCGCAGGCGCTCAAGCCGGCCTCCAGGGGCCCAGCCCGCGCCGACTCCTGCCGCGTCCTTCCCGATGGGCAGGAGACAAAGGGGCCTTGCGTGCCGCCCCTGGGGAAGCCCAAGGGCCTGGCTCCCGGGAACTGGGCAGGGCGTGAGGACGCGGCGGCAGCGATGTGGCACAAGCATGAAGACCTGATCCTCGGGGGAGGGGTGTACGGAGAAGCAGCAGCTCTGTCGGAAAGGAGAGGAATCACAGCCACTTCAGAAAAGGGTTGGCAAGCTCAGGGCGTCCTCCCGCCTCATCTCACCATCTGTTTTTTTGCTTACTTGGAAACAGTGCAAAACACCAAATAGTCAAAAAGTAATGCAGTTTCGATTTCGGTTTTACCTCAACCCGTATTTGGCTGGCTGTCATATCCGGGCTGTTTTCAGAACCGTGGTTTCCCGCGGAGGTCGCCGGACCGAGCGGTGCGAGCGCGCCTGAGAACTCGTCCCTCGCTGCGGAGCCAGTGTCAGGTGAGCTCGCGCGCCCTCGGCCACCAGGAACGGGGTCTGCAGGCTCGCGCCGGCGGGGGCGGAACACCTGGGGAGGTCTGCGTGGGGCCCGAGGTGTGTGACCCGAGGAGCGACGGGCTTTACCCAGAGGCTACTGCACTGCGACAGAGGCGCCCGCGTCCGCACCGTGCGCTGTTCCTCCTAGCGCGCACCAGGCTGCAGCGAAGAGCCCTGCCTGGGACACCGAGGGTCGCAGCCACCCTCTTCTGGGGAGACTGGAGGAGGAAGCCCTATCGGGACCATACCTCACCCCCCTTGTGGAGGCGCTGTTCTGGGGTCACTTCTCACAGCAGCCCTCCTCCTGGGCTCAGTGATTTCCTGACCTCTCCCTAAGTCAATCCTCATCAATATCAATGAGATCGTTCATTTTGTTTCATTTTCAAGAAGGCGTTTCCTGATTATCCTAAATATTAATTCGGAGCCGGGGATATAGTTCAGCAGCAGATTGCCTGCCTGGAAAGCACAAGGTCCTGAGTCTGATTCCCAGTGCCAAAAATCCCCAAACTATTGTGCCTCTGGGAATCCCTGATTACAGTGACTCTGTAGTAAATATTAATTCAACTTCTAATGTCCCTATCCCCAGCCCCTGTATATTCTCTTCTGCGAATTCACCATCACTGTGGCGTGTGTGTGTGTGTATGAGACAGGCATAGATGAGGGTGTGCATACAGTATACGGTCTGTTTGTTTGTTTGCTTTCATTGTCTGTTTCCTTCACCAGAATCAACCCATTGTGTTCACTCCTTGAGGATGCACACCTAGAACGTGGGACAGCACATGCCAGCTACTCAGTACACACTCACTGAAAGAATGAGGGACCAAATTCTAGGATGCCTGGAGCCTTTCCCAGCCATTCTTCCTCTCTAGCATGCCCCATTCTGCCTCTACCCACAAATGCCAGCATTTTTAGGGCTCTGTCATCAGGGCTTTACTTTCCTCATTCTACTGTTACAAAGCCTGGGTGGGGCTTTGTAGAGTTCTTATAGGAATCATAAGATAATCAACAGCAGGCATTCTGTCGCAGGCCTGGACATGTCAGACTATATGTTTAAATTTAGGAACATAGAAAATGTAGAAAATTGATATACACATTCCACAAGCAGAAAGTTGACATGCGTGTGCCTTGAGTAACTATCAGCAGTGACTTCAAGATCTTGTCCTCCAAACAGGGGCTTTTCTGAGTTGCAGGTCACCGTGGCATCGGAATCACCATGGAGGGCCCCATTTGTCTAGTGGAAAACGAGAAAGAGCAGCTGACCGTGAACCCCAAAGCCATAAGGATTCTTGACAGCATATCCCAGCCGGTGGTGGTGGTGGCCATTGTAGGCATATATCGCACTGGGAAATCCTACCTCATGAATCGTCTTGCTGGTCAGAACCATGGTAAGTGTGAGCCCCAGACAGAGGCCATTTGCTTGGAGCCAAAGATAGGACAAACTGACCACAACTTCTCTAGGGTCATCTTAAGAAAGAGTTTAATTCTTCTCACTGAAGAAGATTTCTAATTCTTACCATCACATTTATAGCCTGAAGCTTACCCACAAATCTCACTCTTTTGTTCACTAATAGTTTCTGACCTTATCAAAAGTTCTACCATACTATTTGCCTGAGCCCCTCCACTCTCACTGCTCACCCCAGCAATTACTCCCTCCCATTCTTTCTCCTGCATCTTTCTCATCCTTTGCCCAGATGTCATGCTACTCAAATAGCACACAAACACAGATTAACATGTTCTTGAAAAAATAGCAAGGGCAAAAGGATGTACAGCAGGAACCCAGTTATCTGATGCCCAAATTGAGCTACTATCCAGGTGTCTTTTCTTGTTCTCTGTTTCATAGCAGATTTTTCACAAGTCCTCACCTGCTCACTTCTTCTACTTAGTCTTTTATAGCATGCAAACTATGACATGTTAAGTACATATAGCATATATGTACAATAAAGTTAATAAGTGACTATCTGTATAATCACTATCCATATCAAGAAGTAAACCATTCCAACACCCCAGAAACTCAAATCATACCCTCTCACATTCGCTAAAGCACATCAATATTTTATTATTAGAACACACTTCTACTCTTGCTTTTTTACTGTAAAGAGAAACGAAAACAAAATAACAACCAAGACAAAAACAAAATAACACCAAAACAGTAAAAATAATACAGAATTTCAAACAAGGTAATAGGAAGTTAACGATGGTAATTATATTACATATTGTTATCTTCAACCAAGTTGCTCAGATTACCAGATGTAAGAGTGCAAGATTGAGCAAACAATTAAATCAGACCCACATATGTAAACATCATGTGGTCTCACCAGTACACGAACCTGAAAAAATAGAACCAGGTGAACAAGATACAAACTGTTTCTTGTGAAAGTCCTTAATGCAGCCCGAAAGACTGGATTGATTGTCCTTGCTGAAATAGCCTAGCACTCACATTCCTGTAAGTTTAGCCAGAGTCGCCCCTTGTGGCTTGGTCTCTGTGCTGTCACTGTTGTTTCTCTTCCCTTTAGGGTTTGCTCTGGGCTCCACAGTGCAATCTAAAACCAAGGGCATCTGGATGTGGTGTGTGCCTCACCCCACCAAGCCAAACTGCACGCTGGTCCTTCTGGACACCGAAGGCCTGGGTGACGTGGAAAAGGTGAGGCAGAGAATCCCCCAGTTCAACTTCTGCGATGTGTAACTCTAAACTGAGAATCCACTTATGAATAAGACACTAGATTCCATTTCTTCAAATACTTTACTATATTAAGGATAGTTCTTATTTTTCATATGGGGAGAATGATGTAATTTAACAAAGGTATATTGAATGAATGAATTTCAGGGCTCTGTATCAAGTACAACAGATACAACAGTAAACAAAGTAAAGTCTCCTAGCTTGGTTGTAAAAGCAAGAAATATGGGGTATGATCAGTACAGGATAATGCAGATGCACAAAGTGGGAAATTGGTGCAGTCACTAGAGTTAGGAAATGGTTCTTAGGAAAAACTGTAACGCATGGCATCAATGAGATCTACTACTTAAAATGTGAGGGTATAATGGAGTTGGTGATAGGGAAAATAGTCTTGAGTGGCTTAAGGTGACGCACACCCATAAATCCCAGCACTCAGAAGGGTGAAGCCGGACTGCATGTTCCAGGCCTGCACAGACTACATAAGAATACCTTGTCTGGTAAAGAAAGAAAAGGACAAAGAGGACAAAAAGCAGGAAAGAATGAAGAAGAGGAAGAAAGAGAAGAAGAAACAGGGTTTTATAGTCAAATGTTTAAATAACCTATGTAATCTTCAGAAAAGTTTTGTTTCATCATAAAGGAGTTGGGCCGTGTCTCAGAGCACAGGAGATGAAACCTTTCCTGATGAAAGCATGTGCTAGGCCCATCAAAAATACTACATATAGGACAATTTAAAGGACTTTGTCAGTATTGGTTGCAATCGACCTTTTCTCATTGTTTCCATTAGTCTGAGTCTAAGCTGAAAGTAGCAGTGGATCTTTGACTTCCGTTGCTGCAAAAGACAAGGGGAAACACAAGGAGGAAAAGACAGACTTAGAAATGCAGAAATTTAAAAATTCAGCTACAGAGTTCTCAATTTTCATCTCAGTATCAAAGCAAAATACACTGCCAGTGTGTAACTGATTGTAGTTTTCAGAAAAACTTTTCTTTCTATCTAATTTCATCTGTTGTAAAATCAAAACTTAATAAGATTTAAACAGTTGGCAGCAGAACTACTGACAGTCATTACAGCTTGTCATGTGCTTGGGATAGTCCCTGAATGCATTTCAACGCTTTCGTGTCTTGTTTGAAACTTGTTTCCAGCCTCCTTTTTTTGGTCCGACATACATACTCTCCGATTCAGTCAAGTAAAATAACTCTGGTGCCTTTCTAAGTCGGTGCTCTAACAATTCTTAATTGACTCTGTTGGTGATTTCACTTTTTGGATTCCTTCATTGCCACAAGTCCATATTTTATCAGCTCTTTAAATTTGAGATACTTTCAGTTCATTGCCCTATTTCAATACAACATAATGACTTACATTTTTTGGCATTATTAGAGATTGAATTCAAGATCTGGCACATGCTAGTCAAGTGCTCTATCACTGAGCTGCATCCCCAGTCCCCAATATGATAATTTCTTGCTGTGAATTCACAGAATAATTATTCAGTCATGTTCTCTCCCATGCCCATTGTTTTATATGTTAACATGTTTATGGAACTTTGTATCCACAAAACTGAATTCAGTGTCCAACATCTTTCCAGGTGTCCAAATAAACAGTTTTAAACTTATCTGATAGGCATTTGTGTGATAGAGATGAAATTTGTAATGGAATAATTGTCCATTTATTACTGCACAACCACTATGTTCTGGGTACTTCATTACATATTTTACACTTCTTGAGAATGCCCTTCACTTGTTCTAATAGCTAATAAGCTAACGTCCAGAGAAGGACCAGTGTAAATATAAAAAATGAGGCACGTATTTAGTTTTATCTTCAAAACTTATTATTTTTCTTGTACTTAGCAATCATATAGCTGAAAGAATGAAGAACTGAGTGAATGAATGAATGAGTGAATGAGTGAATGAATGAATAAATGAATGAAGGAATGAGTGGATAGTAGATTCCTTAGTCCCTGCTACAATGTGCTTTCTAGGGTGACTCTAAGAATGACTCCTGGATCTTCGCCCTGGCCGTGCTTCTGAGCAGCACCTTTATCTACAACAGCATGAGCACCATCAGCCACCAGGCCCTGGAGCAGCTGCAGTATCCTTCCAGGACCTAAGCCCTCATGTGTCACTGGCTTTAGAGGAATGGCAGCTGAAACTGTTCCTCCTCTTTCCTACTTAGTTTTCATGTTTGAGTAAAAGCAGACATAGGACAAATAGACATACAATAATTGTTTCTAAGGGACATCTGGAAATCATGGTGCCTCTCATTCCTTAGCTGAGATCCCAGCTATGTGACTGAATTAACACAGCTGATCAGGGCAAAAGCTGGCTCCAGACCTGATGAAATAGAGGACTCTGCAGAGTTTGTTAGTTTCTTTCCAGACTTTATTTGGGCTGTTCGGGATTTCATACTAGAGCTGAAATTAGACGAACGCCCCATCACGGAAGATGAGTATCTGGAGAATTCCCTGAAGCTGATTCCAGGTATGGGAGTGTGGCCTGGGCGGAGGATGCTTCATTTTGGCAGTAGAGTCAACTAAGCCCTGCCATTCAACATGACATATGGTGATTGGTGATTGACAGGTGGCCATGATTTTAGCAGTTATTTTTCCTTAAAAATCTTCAGAGGCTGAGATTTAACCTCACTAAGGAAATTTAAGGCTCAATGTTCTATCAAATAATTTTAAACCAATCAATATCATGAAAAAAGTGAAGATTACAATCAATAATATTATTTCCTTAGCCTGATGTAGTTATTTACCAAGTTTATCTACTCTTATTCCATTTGGAGAAAAATAGCTCATCAACTTAGAAATGATTAAATTTAGAATTACAAGGAAATCTAGTGGCCTAATTAAAAGTAGATATTTTATTCAGTACAGGATATTTTACTAAGCTGGATAGTCACATCCTTAAGAGAAAGCATATTAATACATTAAATGTTTCTGAAATAAAAAAGAAACCCTGACATGTGTTTCTAATAATACTCTCCAACTTTCATTTTACCTTTTTGATAACATCACCTTCTTCATCCTACAGCCTTATGCAATATGTTTTCCTGGTAATAATATAAATTTATTAGATGGATTATGTTCAGCAGAATCAATAAATAGTAGTACTTACATATCATAACAATTTTTTTCATTTATTTATTCATTTTTGAAACATTTATTTGAACAGCTGATTTATACCACAGAATCTTTGCAAGGCAATATGAAGTATAATATTACTTGATATCAAGAAGCGGTGATTACATTTAGGTTGATTTTACTTTGAAGTTTTCTGCTAAGCTAGTCTCTGAACATAATTATGTTCTGTGTGTGTGTCTCTGCGTCTTTGTGTGTGTGTACATTGTTTTGATTGTGAAATTGTTTTTGCAGATTTGGATATTAATTGTCCCCCTACCACTACATCACTTTAGAGCCCACATCTCCTTTCTAACATTGGTCTCAATAGCGGAAATGTCTGATAATGTTTTTGATTAATCAATCACTCTTGAAAGGGTTAAAGACTTTAATTACATTTCAGTGATATGTGCATACCCATGTTCATAGCAGCACAGAATTCATAATAGCTAAATCTTGAAAGTGGACTCCCTGTCCATCAACAGATGAATGGATGAAGAAAATCTGATATTTACATACAATGGGGTACTACTCTCCCAGAAGGAAGCATAAACTTAAGGGATTTGTATGAAAATGGATGTACCTTGAGTCTACTCTGTCATTTGAAATAAATCAAACACACAAGCTTAAATATCACATGGTTTCTCTTATATGAGAACCCAAATTATAAACAAACAACAAAATAAGAGACAGATTATAGAAAGTAGGGAGACAGATCTTTCTCAAATAGGAAGCAGGCAAGGAGGAGTAGGGATTGAAAAGAGGAATTAAGATGTGTTATGTACGTGTGCCAACTCCCAAATGTAAATATCATGTATTGCAAAGGTGCTGATAAAATGAAAATAAAAAGAAATCACTTCAAACCTTTCATAAGTAGTCAATCTATGGGTTATCATTTAAGGGCTAATGAAAGCAATTATAAGTTTCTTTGCATAAGATAAATGCCCCCTCTTTCTCTCCACGACTCTCAGTTCTGTTCAGAAGTGGATGACCCATGGACTGGGTAGAGCAACATAAGGCTGCTCTGAGCAATTGGATGAAGGGAAATTTACAGATGCAGGACTGCAGTTATGCAGAGTCTCATTTTACTTGCCTGCAGGTGGTCTTTTCAATGAATGCTTTTTTTACAGGAAAAGATCCCAAAATTCAAAATTCCAACTTGCCTAGAAAGTGTATCAGGTATTTCTTTCCAGTACGGAAGTGCTTTGTATTTGACTGGCCTACAAATGACAAAGAGCTATTATACAACATTGAAAATGTTCCAGAAAGCCAACTGGAATGGAGTTTTCAGGTGCAATCAAAAAATTTCTGTTCCTATATTTTTACCAATGGAAAGACCAAGACCCTGAGAGAAGGAATCATTGTCACTGGAAATCGTGAGTTGTGTTTTGGTTTGGCTTAATATGTTTCATTTTGGTTTGGTTTTATAATCTCAAAGCATGTCTCTGAGATGCAGAATGAGTAATTTAGTTATGAATCTTTTGTGGATTTGCCAATTTGTTTACTTCTGCAAAGGAATATGGAAAAGCAGACATTTGTGCCATACATACAAATGTATGTTTCCTAAAGTTTCCCCATATGAGTGCTTATTAAGGCATCATACATCTCAAAAAAAACAATACACTGAGAATACAACAGACTTCTGCTAAGGAGAGATCTGTAAAATGGGAAGTCCCTTAACATGAATGCCTCACATATTTTATGAACTGATAGCAGTTAGAAAATATATAGCAGGCTAAGAGTCTCATGCAAGCTCATTGAGTATTTAAGAAACAAATTTAGGCAGGACTAACTTCATGGAAGTATGAACCTATACAACAGTGCAATTCCCACAGGATAGGCCCATGTTTGGTTCAACATTTTTATGTTAGCTTCTTAAAATTTATGATGATATGTTTTATAAAGGTAATTGCATTTTTCTTTGGAATATGGAATACCAAATTATGTAATACGTATTATCCAATAAATTCATTGTGTCCTAATTAAGTGGGAAATCCTGTCCCTCTTGGTTGCAATCATTAATGTAATTTTGTATATAAAAAAGCACGTAGGTAAAGCAGTAATGCTGTCAGAAAGAGATTGACTCATATAGAGATGAAAAAAGAAAGAACTGGAGTTAAAGAAAGAAAAGGAAAAGGAAAAGAAAAAGGAGAAGAAAACTTTAAGATATATAAACTTTGTAATTTTTATAATGACACTCCTTAAAGTGTGTAAAAAAATAATGAGTGAGAACTTTCCATTCATTCCCTAAATATCCATCATTCAGGGCTGGGGGCTCTGGTAGAGACCTACGTGAAGGCCATCAACAGTGGGGCAGTGCCCTGCTTGGAGAATGCGGTGTCCACTCTCGCCCAGCGTGAGAACTCAGCAGCCGTGCAGAAGGCAGTTGACTGCTACAGTGAGCAGATGGCCCAGAGAGTGCAGCTCCCCACAGACACGCTGCAGGAGCTGCTGGATGTGCACGCAGCCTGTGAGAAGGAGGCCATCACAGTCTTCATGGAGCTGTCATTCAAGGATGAAAATCAGGAATTCCAGAAGCAGCTGGTGGTAATACACCATAGCATTTATCCTTTCTCATCCCTGCATGACCTTGCGCTTGCCAGGCAGGCTGTTTGCTGCTGAGCTAAATCCCCAGCCCCCCTGTCCTTCTGGAAGGAGGCTTATACTCCACACTCCTGAGCACATGGTTTACATCCATCTCATCATAAAAAGAACCTGAAGTTTTGTGGCTCACAGGGCTCTTCTGGCTTTAGTACAACTTAGAAAATGGCACTTAGTTTACTATTGCCTCAAAACAATTATGTGCTTAGCAGATGAACAAAACATTATGCATCTGTTAGCTCCCACTTCTCTAGTGGATCTCCGCCAAGCTGGCTGAGCGCTCTGCACCCTGCACAGGCTGAGCACCAGGCGTCACATGGGTTTAGTGCTCATCCAGAGGCTTTGTGGAAGCCCTTTCCACCTCCAAGCAACAAGGATGCTTCAGTTCCTCCTCTTGTTTCTAGACCTTCAGATTTTCTTTTCTGCTAAAGCCAGAGAAAACTGCTTTTTAAGGATGCTTAACATTCTCTAATACCCAACAAGGTGCTCTCTGTTTCTTGAAGTCCACGTGTGACCTATAACATAATGTAATCATAGGTTGAAAACCATCCTATTCTCAGATCAAGGGGTGCTTCAGGAAGACAACTCTCCTGGGACACCTTAATTGTGCCTATCAGAGGCACTGTCATTGCAATTTACCTTTCATTCTCTAGGACTAACCGAAAACTAACAAAAATTTTAGTTCTTAATGAGGAAATCTAGCTAAATCGTGATTTTCAATAGTTAACAATTAAAAAATATCTATTCCTGTATCCTCACATACTCAACTTATCACTGAGATAGTTCATGAAGAGTTCAAAACTCTGTTCACCATGCATGGAAGTCATTTCTGGGGATCAACTTTGTCGAGGGTATATTTTCATCCACAGTAACCTAGATTCTCTGATTTTTTACTCCCGTCCAGAATTTAATTGTTTGGTCATTGGTAGAGTTTGGGTCCTTGTTAATTATACTATAGCTGAGCAAATCATAAAGCTTAAAGTTATAAATTCACCATTTTACAGATACTGAGCCTGACTCAGGCTACTTTGCAGGTCACAGGGAATTGGCGAGAATTAGGTGTAAAACAAGTCTCCTGGCTCTTTTCTATGTGCCAGTCCAGTCTGAGGTGTTTTGGTTTTGGTTTAGTTTAGTTTTTTTGTGGGGGTAGCTTTTTGTTGTTGTTTTTCAAAGAGAATCCCAGTTGCCCCTTCCAACTAAAAGCTTCTTTGTACTGTGTTTCCCCACATGTTATTGGCAGAGCACCATGGAGAAAAAGAAGGAAGATTTCTTGCTGCAGAACGAAGCAGCATCTATCAAATACTGCCAGGATAAACTGGAGCAGCTGTCAGCATCACTGATGGAAAACATTTCAAGAGGAATTTTCTCTGTTCCTGGAGGCCATGGGCTGTACTTAGAAGCAAGGAGGGAGGTGGAGGAGGCCTACAGACATGTGCCCAGGAAGGGCGTTAAGGTGAAGAGTTTGGAGGCAGGGTGGGGATGGTCAGCAGGGTGGAGTTGGAAAGCCTTTGCCACTCTTTCTGAAAATATAAGACCATAGCGCCATGGTAGAACTTGGGCAGAGCATGGCCATATGTTGACATTCTTCATTTTTTATATCTACTATCAATTAAATACTTTTAAATAAACCAAAACTAGTTCTTCCAAAAGAGGACATTAAACTAAGAATGCAGGTGAAACAAACTATTTCATTTATTTATCAAAAAAATGGGTAGTTTTGGGCTAAGTATAGGAGAAGCAGTATGAAAGCAATTACTTTCTTCTCCGTAAGCTGATCTTATTTCAGAGGGACAAAATACTATTCCACAGGCAATGGTGTGATAACGGTCATTACCCACCTGCTTTACCTGGTGCGTCCCAACAGTAACGGTGCAGCTAACAGAAATTCAGCAGCCCATTTTGATACCAAGTACACTGTATTTTTAGGTGATTATGTTGGATGACCAATTTACTTCTCAGAATAACACAAACGAGGTACTCCTGTCTCCCATGCTTGCAGCAGAAAAATGTGATCCACAGAGGATCAAATTTGTTTCCTAAGATCTCACACCAAGCAAGTGGTAGAGCTGATGGGGCAGCCATTAGAGACTTGGAATTTTTTCTTTTGAGAATTCCTCATACTGTTGTCCACTGAGGCTGTACAAATTTCCATTCGACCAACAGTTCTACAAAAGCTCCCTTTTCTGCACATTCTCAGCATCATCTGTTATTTTCGTATTTATATCCAGCAGGTGTGAGATGATATCTCACTGTGATTTTGATTTGTAATTGAGTGGTGTTTAGTGATGTCGAGCACCTTTACAAATACCTGTTGTCATCTGAATGTCTTCTTTTGAAGTATGTCTGTGTAGGTCTTTTGCCCATTTAAAAAAATCAGTTTCTTTGTTAACTTACTGTTGAGCTGTATGAGGTCCGTATGTACTTTGGATATTAACCCATTGTTAGATGTGTGTTTTACAAAGAATTTTCCTATTCTATATATTCCCTTTGCATTCCATTATTTCCTTTGCTGTGTATGAACTGTTAGTTTGATGTCATCCCACTCTTACTTTTTGCTTTTGTTACCTGGGCTTTTGGTATCAAATCCAAAAGTTCACTACCAAAATCAATGTCATGTTGTTTATTTATTTATTTATTTTTTTTGTCTTTTTGAGATAGGGTTTCACTATGCTCTTCAGACTAAGACTCACTTCATAGCCCAGGTTGGCCTCAAACTTACAGTAATCCTCATGCTTCAGCCTCTTGAGTGCTGAGGTTATGGGCATGCACCACAATGCCTGGTGCCAAAGTCAGTGTCAAAGGAGTTTTTCCCTATATTTTTTCTAAGAGTTTTACAGTTTTAAGCCTCATGTTTACTTTTATTTTTATGTAAGGTTTAAGATAAGGGTCCAATTTCGTTCTTTCCTGGCTTTTCTGCTCTACTGGTCTTTATGTCTTTTTATACCAGTACTATGATGTTTGGATTACTATATAAATATAATGAAATATTACTCAGACTTAACAAACTCTATCAGTTGTGATGACATCAATGAGGAATCTTCATACTGTTTTCCATGGATGAACCTGAGAACATTACACTAAGTGAAATAAGCAAGATGTAGAAAGACACTCAATTTTTGTGACACAAACAAAATCCTTAAGTTAAATTCTCATTCACATACAGTAGAATGGTGATTACTAGGGATTGGGGGTATTGACCAATAGCTATAAACATACATTATTAAATAAAGTAGTTCTGAAGACCTAATGTAAGGCAAAGTGGCTACAGTTAAAATAATCCAGTACACACCTGACAGTTACTAAGAAAGTGTGTCTTAAGTGTTCTAACAACAACAAAAGGGAACCATATGAGGTGAGGGATGTGTAAATTAGCTTGATTATGGTAATCATTTAATAATGTATACATATGTCTATACATAATGTTATGTACCTTAAATGTGTACAATTATTTTTGTCAGTGACACCTCAACAAACCAGGAAAATCTCAGGAGGCATCTTAGAAATCTTCTGGTTCATGAGGGAGGAGATAAAAGGTGGAGTGTCTGTAGATACGATCAAGTTTAGAAAGCCTAGAGCACCACTGAGGCAGAAGAGAAAGCATAGGCAAATAACAGAAATGATCAGAGCTATGTGTTTGTAAGACTGCACATAAATCTGATCGGAGCTGTAACTCGGTGTGGCTGGCGGGCCGAATCACTGAGAGAAGGCTAGAGCGCTCGGAAGGAAGGTGTTGTAGAAGGTTTTCATATGTCACCAAAGAGCTTGGACTTTTAGCTGTGACCACAGAAGGAAAGGAATCTCTGTGAGATCTTAAGAAGGAGGAACAATTTACAGAGTCAGATTTATATGTGTATTGAGTAATAATTTTTTCATTGGAAGACTAGATCTTCGCCTAAAGTTCCTTCTAGAATGGGTTTTGTTCCTTCTTGATTCCCAGGCAAATGAGGTCCTCCAGAGCTTCCTGCAGTCTCAGGCTACTGTAGAAAAATCCATTCTGCAGTCTGACAAAGCCCTGTCTGACGGAGAGAAGGCAATAGCAGGTATGGAGAGGGCTCAGATCTCAGGTGGGGCAGATAAGTTGCCACAAACCCCTCTGCCTAAGTGGACCAGAAATCCTTCCTGAAACAAGGAGCTTCGTATCCTATGGGTAGATCTCCTACTCTGATAAATCTGAGAGCAGTAAGGGGGTTTGGGGTTTGTACCCAGCCAACCAGTGCCTTTCCATAACATTTAAAATCCTGACCCTGCTATCATGGATAAAGGATGAATTCAGAGACTTTTTTGCTCTGAACATTTTCAAAATCAGGGTGATCTTTCAGTTCAAGAGGTTAGAGCTCAGGCCTGACTGCTGTTCCCTTTCTCTCTAAAATCTTTGGGGAGCAGCTGAGAGGGCCAAGAAGGAGGCGGCTGAGAAGGAACAGGAGCTGCTAAGGCAGAAAAACAAGGAGCAACAGCAACTGATGGAGGCCCAGGAGAGAAGCTTCCGAGAAAATGTGGCTCAGCTAAAGGAGAAGATGGAGAGGGAAAGGGAGAGCATTCTGAGGGAGCAGGAAAGCATGATGGAGCACAAGCTGAAGGTGAGTCCGTGTGGGGCCTGCCAGGGCCTGAGGAAGAAAAGACCAAAATTTTAAGTACAGGCTTGATTCCAATTTTAATTCCCAGGGAAATCCAAAAGGTAAATGTTTCACTGAAACTTCAAGTATACCTGATTCCTACTGAAGCCTAAAAACCTGTAGGAATTCAGTACCTCTGTAGTGTCAGGCTTCTGGGGTGGCTGTTTGTTGAGATTGTAGGGTGGTCTTCATGTGTTCCATTTGAATAGGACCTCCGTCCACTAGTCCTTGGGATTCTCGGCACAAACATCAAAGACATCCAAAACAGATCCATTTGGTGGGAATGTATTAGATTTGTCCTGAGATAAAATGGAGGGTGGCAGAAGTTCAGAAAGTGCTCCATTTGTTTCAACATCTGCCTGGTTCACTTTGCACAACTAAAGTAAAATAAGCCCTTGTCCCACACTAGCACTTGATGACCATTGTTCCACACAAAGTCAGCATTTCCCATACATGTTAGATGAACGTGGCTATGCCACTTTTGTTAGAACTCAGCTTGCATTCTCTGCCAAAGGGCGTTACTTGTGCAGGAACCAAACTCCTCTTGACTCCAGTGGGACTGCACTGAGGAAATCTCTCATAAGCTTTGTATACACTCACTGTCAGCATCAAATTTCTGGAAATAGCAAAGAATATTCTAAGGTCAAAAAGAAATAAATGCATGTGTTTAACCCCTGAAGTTTTTAGATACAAAATTCTAACTGAATAATTGAGAATTTTCAAAAATAAATTCTTCATCTTTTACAGGTCCAAAGAGAACTACTTATGGATGGTTTTAAAAAGGATTCTGAAGCATTAAATAGAGAGATACACCAACTCAGAGAAAAAATTAAAGAGACTCAAAGCAAGAAATCCATCTTTTCTGAAATCCTTGATACAGTTGGTACTGTTTTCACAGCAGTGTTGCCTGGGGCTGGTAAATTCATTGGTTTAGGGATGAAATTTCTTGGCTCACAAATATAATGTAGTGTGAGAGTTCCTGTCATGGAAATAATAAAGTGAGACTTCTTTAATTTTAATAGTATGAGAGTGTGCCTCTTTAATGTCCACATCATAGCAGTTTTATTCAAGAAAAAAATAAGAAATTGCCCAAACAGAAGGAACAACTGGGATGAGGGAAAGGAGAAAAGAAAGAAAGAAAGAAAGAAAGAAAGAAAGAAAGAAAGAAAGAAAGAAAGAAAGAAAGAAAGAAAGAAAGGCTAAGGATTTAGCTCAGTGGCAAAGTGCCTGCCTGGCAAGCACAAGGTCGTGAGTTCGATTCCTGGTACTGGAAGAAAAGACAAAAAAAAAAGAAAATGCAGTCCTTCCAGCTGGCTAGCTTCCTGCCTGGTGGCTCCCCCAGCGCACGGGGAGCCTCGGGCAGGGAGCGCCAGTCTTTGGGGTCTTCGGACCAGCAACTCACTCCCGGCCTCGTGGTTCCCCGGAAGGAGGGCTTCCGGCACACAGGGAGCCACGGGTGGGGAGCACCAGTCTTCCAGCTGGCTAGCTTCCTGCCTGGTGGCTCCCGGAGGGTGGGCCCCCAGTGCATGGGGAGCCATGTGGCGGTGAGTGCTGTTGTGCGCCGGCCCTTAGGCAGGCCACGGCCGCTCAATTGAGATCTATCATGACACAGAGAACCAGTGACACAATTGGCCCACCATGCACCGACTGCAGTTGCCCACCCATGGATGTGTGTCAATCATTGAAACTTTGAACAGCCCCCGGGAATACATGCCATACAATGGGCCACTCTTGCTCCTGCCATTGGGAACCAGAAAGGTCCAGAGCCAGCGGAGGAGCAGCTGCTGAACAAGGACTCAGAGAACATGAGAATGCAGACTAAGCCCAAGGAGTCAGAGGTCCAGTGGACTGGGGTCACGAGAGCCGTTCGGAAGGTGTAAACCAGGAGGACCTTGCACAATACCTGCAGAGACTCATTGGAAGCCATTCTTCCCCTGACAGTACAGGCTGTGGTGGAGCTCCGGAGAAGTCTGCAGCCGGATTCCTGCTGCCTGTGCTGACAGTTGGGGAGAGGACACTAACTGGTTGTGGGGTCCCAAAGCAATGGGAAGCTGGAGAGAAAAAGCTACAAAGAATGGCTTTCACCCCAGATAGCTCACTTGAGATGTTAGTAAGAATTGCCTCCTCAGTATTCTATAGCCATGATGAGGAGGAGGCCAAGGAGAGAAAACAAAGAGACTGAGAAAAAGCAGCTGCTTTTGCTGCACCACTAAGAGAAACAGATCCCAGGTCTGATTCCCAGGGCCCCAAGAAGAACTCGACAACTGCATTCATCTGCTACCACTGTTAAAAGCCAGGCCACCTCAAGAGTAACTGCCCTAAGAGGCCCATGGGCCATTCCCTGGATGCAAAGGAGACCACTGGAGATCGGTCTGCCCTCTGAGGTGGAGGCCCCAGAGCTCAGACCCATGCTACCAGTTAGTCCAACAGGAATGAGAGGGCTTGGGGCATGGTCTGCCTTCTCCCTCTGGCCAGACCGTCATCTCCATCGAGGAGTCCTGGGTAATCATGACTATGGAGCAACAAGAAAACAGCCTGTTACTAGACACAGGTGCAAGTCTCTCAGTCCTTCTTTTCAATCCTGGCCTTCCTTCCAGCCATCATACCTCAGTGAAAGGAGTCACTGGTGAGGAGGTAATATGCTATTTTTGACAACCCTTAGGCTGTAACTACTTATTAGATCCTTCTTGCATATCTCTGTCTTCCTGAGAAACCACTTTGAAGATACCACCATGTACTACAGCAGCCACTGATATTTTCCTACTAACCTATCCATAACTGTGTAAAGTTTGTAATGTTCCTATCCTATTTCATAAATGGATGTATGTTTATTATTATGTGTTTCCTACAACAACCATTGAGAATACTTAATGATTTTTCAATAGGTCACTCATGTATAGCTCTATTTATTTTCTTTAGAAGCCACTTTGAGGATACCAAAGTATAGTACAACAACTCTTGATAATCTCCTACCTCTTTTGTCTCTAACTCACTATTATTTGTCTATTTGTTTTCCTGAGAAACTATTTTGTAGATAACAATATGTAAAACAATAACCATTGATAATTTCCTACCATTTTGTCTGTAATTTGCTAAGTCCCCCCTATTATCATGTTATCCTTCTTTTACTCTTTAAAATAAAAAAAAAAAGAAAGCAAGAAAGAAAATATATATGGATATACAAAGATAGCTAAGGTAATTGTACTGCTGATGTCTATTGGTTTATGGAAAGGAACAGCTAATGCTTAAATTTTTCTTTCTTAGACTAATTTTGCATGATTATATCTGGTAATCTGAACAACTAACTTGAAGACAACAATATGCAATATAACAACGATTGCTGAATTCCTACCATCTTGATTAGTGAAACTCTGCATCATTTCTAATGTTTTTTTATTATTTTTATTCCCTTTAATTATTTGACCAATCTTGTATTTTTACATCTGGGAGTCTGAACTTCATTAAAGATAACAATATGTAATATAACAACCATTGTTAACTTCCTATCATCTTGTTTTGAATTTCTGCATTTTTGTTGTTTTTGTGTTGCTTTTTTATCATAGTTGTTGTTATTTTGTTTTTTCTCTTAAAATGAAAAAAGAAAAATTTAAAATAGAAACCAATTATCAAAGAATACCAGAGCCATACATAAACCACACTAAATTTTGACTGAATGAATTAATTTAAAGAAGTGGGAAGCAAGTTAGAAGATAATGAAATTATTTCCACAAAAGATTTAAGTAAAGTAAAAATCAATGGCATGATGAAGAAAACATCAGCAAATTATATTTTAGTCATGGAGATAATTTATGATGAGCTGTTCTGAGAAGAGACCAACAGCAGTTTTTAAATATGTGAGAAAAATGTCTCAACCTTATCATAATAAAAGTGGTGCAAAGTAAAACTATGAAGTTCTTATTTCACCTCTATTATGGGCCAAAAAGAAAGGTTTTGACATGACCCTGAGCTGGACAGGGATTAAGTGAAATTTACAGTCTCTGATATTTGCCAGTAAGAGCATGAACCGTTGCAGTTATACATCAAAAATTAAAATGCATGTACTTATGATCTAGCAATTCCACACTAGGGATTTCTCTTACAGATTTACCTTGGTTGAAAACATCATTTTCAATGGGATATTTGTTGAGGATCATTCTAATTCAAAACAATGGAAACCACTTTGAAGTTCCTCTGTTAGTTGTTGGTAAGTAAATCTGATACATACTTTCAGGGGAATACTTCATCACTTCTGAAATGAAAGAGGAACCTTCATTCATATTAATATGAGAACATATTAGAATTTAATAGTAATATATGACTTCAATATGAAAACATCTCCAAGGTGTATCATAAGTGCAAAAATTACAGAAAGATTATAGGGTTCCTGCCACAGAATGTAGAAAATAATGAATCTATGCATATGGTATTATCTACCTGTGGAAAAACTAAAAATCAACCATTATCCATGGTCACAATAGGTAGGTACATGTACAATTGGAGTGAGAAATTAAGGAATAACTACCTTTGCAAATCTTTTAATTCTTTTATTTGTATAAACTTGTTGCTTATTTCAACATATATATAATTATTAAAATTATAAATGAAATAATAGAACCCTGGGAAAGTTCTACTAATACAGTGACAGTGTTTGATAGTACAGCAAGAGCATAAGTCACCTCATCAAGAAGAGTCTGCTATGTCAAGAGGGATGTAGCACAAGACACACATCTTAATTTTGTTCTGATTAAGGCCTATCAATAGAGACTAAGAAGTCTGCTCCATAGTGTATGTTTAGATATGTCTTCTGAGATGCTGACTGCAATGGTTTCTAAATTCTGCTTCATGCTTCTAAAGATGGCATATTAGCACGAAATTGTTCATCAGGATCAGTGCAACATTTCCAGAATTATTTTCAAATTCCGGAGTCACTAAGACTTGTAACAATTCTAGAGCTCTAGAGCTCCTTGTATTCCTCAAGTCAGGCATGTTCATTTGACACTAGGCCACACATGGACACAGATTTCGTACAGAGCCCAGCTGGCTTCCTCACCACAGACCCTTTAAGTGCCAACCTCTGCTTCTCCTTAAGGCCTCTTCTCTCTGTCTTACTGAGACCACACGAGGGGTCCCTCCTCTGTGTTGCCCTTATGCACAAGCTATGTTACAAAAGGAAAGGAATGAACAATAAATAGTAGCTGTTAGTTTATATTTTCTCACTATACTCAATCCAACTCCAGGGTTGGTGAAACCTCATGAAATGATCCTAATTTTCACTCAGAGAAATGGTTTGGTCATGGGAGTCTAATCAATGGACTGGAAAAGAAATCACTGCAGTGTGAAAAAAGATTTCTTATTTTACACAACTGATAGACATGTACAGTATGTTTCTGAGCTGAATTGAATAAAGAGAAAACAAGAGATAATTTAAAATAAATGTAAATATAAAGAAGAGCAATTGTTGGACCATGTTTTAAAGTCCTAAATGCATTTCACATATCTGACATCAAACTGCATTCCTCAGTGTTAAGTTTCCAGCATCCCCATTTGTGATCCTGGCTCCCTTTGGTACCCAGTGTGCCTCCCTTTCTCTCCTGTCCAGGCCATGGCTTTCATTAAGACGGCGCAGGTTGATCTCCCACCGGAGTAAGTTGTGTGAGGACAGAGACTGTATGAATCCTCACACACACTCAGAGCCTGCACAGTGCTGTGCAGTCAGTGCATCTGAACACACACATACACAAACACACACACACACACACACACACACACACACAGAGTGGGTTGTCTTTCTGATGCATAGGTCTTGATTCCATTTTGCATGGGACTCGGTAAGCCCATCTGAGTGAAGAAGTCCATGTTGCTATGTTTTGTGGAGCATTTGCAGGAGCTCTTCATGTAAAAAGCAGTTTATTATATTTCTTTCTTGTAATCTCAAAACCCTAGAAGGCTGAAGCAGAGCATCACAAATTCCAGCTCAGTCTGGACAACTTAGCAAGCCTGTGTTATAATAACAAAAAAT